TTTCTTTTTAGTGGTGTTTGTCCAGTTTTTACTTTGTGGAAGAGCACCTCATTTCGTTGCACCCGCTTGCGAGTGTAATGACAAATAAATTCTTATGTCTTATGTCTTATGTCTTATAGCATTAGATTTCACACATTATAACACCCCATCACCATGACTTGGCCAGAGTTAAGTTTTCTATTCTCCTCCTTTTTTGATATTTCACTCAAAAGCAGCAGGAGAAACTTGCAGTGGGAGGAACAGGCCAATTGTAAGGACCATCTACAACAGGGGTGGGCAAACTACGGCCCGGGGGCCACATCCGGCCCGTTGGTCTGTCCAATGCGGCCCGCCCCTGAAAAAAAATAACTGCCATTGGTCTGTCCAATCCGGCCCGCCCCTGAAAAAAAATTGCTAGGTGTGGCGTATTGCCCTGTGCCGCATGGCCCCCAAAGCTGCAAAACAGTGCGGAGCGATCTAGGGGTAGGAAAGAAAAGAAATTTGCAAAGGCCTCGGCTGGGAGTTCGAAATCACCTTCGAGTGCGACCTCTCCGAAGGTGAGTCCCCGCCGATCCCCCCCTTTTTTCCGGGGCTTCCAGGCTTAAACTTTGCAAAGGCAAAGCTTGCAGGCTGGAGCGTCTTCCCGCCGAGGATCGGGAAGGGTTCCACCCGGCGGGCGGGGCGGGCTGCTTGGAGCCACCTAAAGCTAGGCCGCTGCTGGTGGAGCCTTGCCCTGCCTTGGTGCCCCGTTTCCCGGCTCGGCGGTCCTGCTCGGGCGGCACTTTAAAAGCCTGCTCCCAGCACCCGAGCAACTTCCCAGCAACTTTCGGCTTCGTTTTAACTCACGGGCGCCAGGCATGATATTCCGCTCTGAAAAAAAAATCGGGGCCGGCCAAAAGAGACCCCCTGCCGCGTGCCCGGGGAGTGCCCGCTGCTTTCCCTCGCCGGGGCCGGGCGACGGCGTGTTGCACGGAGGCTGGTCTGTGGCTGGCCCAGCTCCCTTTTCCTGCCGCTCAGCGGCCTCCGCTCGCACCGCCCGGGCTCCGCTCTGGTATCCGGCTGGGGCTGTCAGGAGTTGCTACCGCCGGTGCAGCTCCACGCGGCTCCAGTCCCGCGTTGCCTCGGGAAGGGAAAGGCAAAACCAGGAGCCGCTGCTGCCGTTGCAAAGCGCCGCCGCGGCTCTTCCTTTTTGCCTTTCCCTTCCTGAGGCAACGCGGGACTGGAGCCGCGCGGAGCCGCGCCAGCAACTCCTGACTCGGGGCCTCCGAGGGGAGGGGAAGGAGGAGAAGGGGGGGAAGGGTGGGGGGGGCGATTCCCAAAAAATCTTGTGCTGACCCGGCCCGTCTGTCAAATTTTAAAAGTCAATGCGGCCCCCGAGCCAAAAAGTTTGCCCACCCCTGATCTACAATATACAGAGCTCTACCTGGAAAAAGAGATGCCTGGTGTTCAAACTGGCTTTAGAAAAGGCCAAGGAGCATGAGACAATATTGTGATATACACTGGATAATTGAGGAACTCAAAGGATAATTGAAAGAAGTTAGCATATGTTCTATTGATTATAGAAAGACTTTTGATTGTGTCAAACTGGGGGATATACTTAGGAAATGGGAATTCTGGAACATCTCATTTTCTGTATCACAACTATCTTGAACTCAATGTACAGTCAGAACATTGTGAAACAAACTGGCTCCAAGTTGCCAAAAAAATGAGACACAGCTATATGATTTTCTCGTATTTTATTTAAACTATATTAGGAATATACATTAAGGGAAGCAGAATTGGAAGAAGATGAGCGTTGAAGGACCTGGAAGGCCAGGTTAGGTACAGATCATCATGGAGAACATTCGTGCAGTTGCTAAGAGGTGAGATTGATTTGGTGGCCCATAATCAACCAATCAGTTTATGCTAGACTGTCTCAGGCTACCATAAAGGAATATAATTATAGGCTATTTCTCAACTTAGGAAAAATGGCCTATTTAGTATGAAGATGACTTGGAGCTTAGAGTTTTTGTGGGTGACCATAAAAAGTAATAAATATTAATTATGATGGCAGACCTTTCTTAATCATTGCAGCTCATGAACTGCATACACCCCTATAGAAATAACAAGATAATCACCTTCTTTGTAAACATGCCCTCAATATCATGGCACACAATAAAATATTTATCAAGATCATTTATTGCATGGCACTAACATCAATCTTGTTTTCAATTATGTTCTAATGAAATGCACCAATTACTGTTTGAATGGTGACATACAATTGTAATCTCATTCAGTAGATAAATCTTGCTCAAACAAGTTTTTCAGCATCCTTTCTTTCATAGTATTAATTACAAATATAAACAAAGATGCATTATTATCTTGGTATTCTGTAATAAATCCAGGGATTTAGTATAACATGCTCTTCTATTTGACAGCCTTAATCACCATGCAGTTTCCAACAATTATGCTGCACATCCATAACAAAATCCAAGGTTGGGGCAGTAGATTCTGAACTTGTTTCTGTGACCCTTTATTTAAAATGATCTACAACTCCTTTTATATACAGGTAAGAAAAGATGCTATCTATTATAACATTTAAACTCCTTAAAAATCTCAAGTTCTCGATTCTCTGTTGTTGTTTCTCTGTGTCATATAATATATGTGAGTATGTGGTTATATGCATAACTATTTATTTATTTATTTGTTTGTTTGTTTATTTATTTATTTATTTTGTCATGTTTATGTAGTGGATATTGGAGGTGGTGATCCCTTGAGAGCTGTACACAATGAAATTTCATTTTAATGTATGCCGATTAGTATATACTTAAAGGGACAATAAAGTTATTCTAAGTCTAAGTTTAATGCTCAACGCTTATCTTTCTGGTATATAAAGGATGAAGATTCATCATTGGCAGTCACTGAGCATAATAACTGCAAGCATTGATTAATTAAAAATATAGTACTGAATCTTGATGATGTTAAAAATCAGATGAATCCAGTAAACTCTCTTGATGATGAGTTAGATATTTTGGACCAAATATTATTTTAAGCCTCCCTGTACATTGCTAAAATCCAGACCAGAAACATATAAATAGTTTTAATACACTGAAATTAATGTGTAAAAGAGCAACAGCCTTGGGGAGTTTGGATGCAGAAGGTATGTGCAATGTAGCCTACACTATATGTATAGCTATTTAGATTATATGTGCCAACACCATTCATTGGGGAGTAGTTTCACTTAACAGAGGGAAGGGGAATAATGCCCCTTTTCTGATTTGTGGACTTCAACTCCCAGAATTCCTGAGCCAGCTGGACTGAATATCCTTGGCAAAGGACACCATATACAGTAATCCTTGACTTATGAACACAATTACATTGCTAAATAAGATAGTTATTGAGTTGTGCCCTATTTTACAACCTTTTTTGCCTAGTTATTAAGCAAACCACTGCAGTTGTTAAGTGAATCATGCAATTCTTAACTGAATCTAGCTTCCCCCATTGACTTATTGGAAACCAGCTGGGAAGATTACAAATAGTGATCATGTGACTCCAGGCAAGGGGTGGGATTCAAAAATCCCAGCAACTGGTTCGCTGCCCAGTTGTTGGGTGGGTGTGGCCTATTGGAACTTCCTGTTTCCAGCTTCCAGTGGGCTTCCAGAGCCCAGGGGAGGCCATTTTCGCCCTCCCAAGGGACCAGAGGCCTCCCCGGACCTCTGGGAGGGCGAAAACAGCCTCCCTGGTCACTGGAGGCCCACCAGAAGCTGGAAATAGGCCCATTTTGCGACTTCCAGTTTTCCCAGGAGGGCCGTTCTTCACCCTCCCAAGAGTCCAAAGGCCTTCTCCAGACCTCTGGAAGGGCGAAAACAGCCTCCCTGGGCTCTGGAGGCCCTGCAGAAGCCAGAAACAGGCCTGTTTCCAGACTTCCAGAAGGCCCATTTTTCCCCCTCCCAGAGCTTCTGCGAGGACCCTGCACTTACCTCCATCAAAAATGGACCGTGTGGAGACTCCTGGGAGGGGCAGGGTGGGGCCAGCCAGTTGGTTGAAACACCGGTTCAATGAACTAGCTGAAACTTTAACATCCAGTTTGCCTGAACCAGTCTGAACTGGTAGAATCCTACCCCTGCTCCAGGCTAGTGCAACTGTCTTAAATGCATGCTGGTTGCCAACTGTCTGAATTTTAACCATGGGGATGCTACAATGGTCATAAGTGTGAAAACTGGTCATCAGTCCCTTTTTTCAGTATCATTATAATTTTGAATGGTCACTTAATGAATGTAAGTCAAGGCCTAACTGTATCAGGTTTTCTGAGTTGACTTCTTTACTGCTATTCAGCCCCAAATTATACTGGAGCAATCTCTCTCTCTCTCTCTCTCTCCCTCTCCCTCTCCCTCTCTCCCTCCCTCCATCCTTTCCTCTGTGTGATTTTAGGACAAAGACTTGGAATATTATCTGTGCATTCCTTTTAATTTTGAAGTTAGATGCTTATATGATGCAAACTCCCAATGGCATCTCACATAAACAAGAACGTGATATTTGCAAGTGTAGAAAAATCTAGGATGTTTGCAGTAAAAAAGAGGTCTGAGATATATACAGATATCTGCATGCCCTCTCATCAACCTTGGAGAAAAAGGTCAGAAATCCCATGCAATATCAACCAAAGTTTCTACAACAACCACAAGAAAAGCACCATATGTTGCAACTATTTCCTCAAAAGCAATACATCACAGGTATATTAGCAACATTTGAAAAACATTTGAAAACAAGGGAAAAAAAACAGTCTAACTTTAGAGCATCAATAACAATAAAGGTGTACAACTGTAAAGGTTCTGCAAAGGTGATCTGCAGTGTGATTACTATATATTTTATTTTTTTACCTGACACTCTAAATTGGTTTCTCTACAATTTCTACACCAGCAATAAGCACAGTCCAGTTGTTCTGCTGGAAGATGTAATAAAAGTATAGAAGCAGCATATTTTGCATTTTGCTATATTGGTAAAGATGAGAAAGGAAAGACTTTATGGTGTCTAAATACTCACAAAGAACTAGTGGATAGTATACATTCTGCTGCAAGAAATAAATATTTGTTGAAATAATTGAAAATGTCTGTATGCACCTGCCCACTTGTTATATGGAAATGATAACTGGTAATTTTAGGAAGTAAATGAAAGTAAATTGAATGCCATGGAAATGGGTTGCTTGAGAAGTGAGTGTGTTAAAAGAGAGACGGGTGTTGAGAATGACTTGGCTGGTGCAAAAGTAGTACAGTACGTTGAAGAAGTTTGATAATTACATATGCATTACTTGTTACTGTTTGCATTTTAAGTTTCCTGTACTGGTTTTTTACTTTAATAACATTTTGATTTGATTTGAAAGTTAAATGGAGTTGGTGAAAAAGAAGATAAGAAATTTAAAGACCAAAGCCAGTGCACAAATCAATGTATGGGTGTGATGGAAGCAAGGACACAAAGGCACAGAGACGTATGGAGAAGGTGCTGGTGTAAAGCAGATATTAAAACTCTTCCCATGTCCAAATATCCCGCCTTTACTTTCTTTTATACAGTACACATCTCTCTTTGCCTATACTCTACATTGCACTGCTTGTCCTGGAAAGGAATAATATGATCGGTATGTACCTATGGAAATTTTTTGGATAGTCAAAGGCTGCAGATAGTAGGAAGAGGCTGTTAAGGAAGAAATTGAAAGTTTTACAGGTAAGATATGTTTGGGAGAAAGTGACTGGGCAAGCATAGGAAAATCAAAAAGCACTCTGCATAAATGCATCTTAACAGTGCCTTTCTTTATTATCCAATAAATGTTGCTCTGGGGATCCTGATAGAGAATAGCTATAGAGAAATGCTTTCAACAACCAAAACTGAATCAGAGAAAATGAGAAAAAGGATGTGAGTTGGAAATTCCCTATTGGAAATTAATAAAGGTGGTTTATATTTTAAGTACACCTTCTGCAACATGCTTCCTGCTTATTTTATTTCAAGATGGAATTGGCATATTGTAAAGACTTATGGTCTTCTTAAATTTCAGTGTCAGGAGTCCATATCAGCTTTTTTCCTCTTGGGAAAGCCTCACAAATCTAATAGGAACCTGATTTGTGAGGCTTTTGAGGATTTTTTTGAGGGAAAGAAGAATCACTGGGGATCCACAGCTGGGGAGTGGAGATCTGTTTCTGAACTTGATGCAGAGATCTCCCTACATTTCCAAGAGACACAGATGCCGGGAAATGCAGTCAGAAAAGCATAAGCCAGGCATAAGAATGTTTCCTTGAAGAGAAAGTTTTTTCTTAGGCACAATTAAGTTTCTACAGCAGTGAAGGAGTGATTAAAATATTTGAAATGGGAAAGGGCTACCTCAAAGTCATAATTCAAAACTAAGCTTGGAATATTTCCAAAATGACCAGGGTTTTTGCACACCTCTACTAGTAAGAAGCATTTCTTGCTGACACTGAATGATTAACAACTGTGCCTTGACTACAAAAGCATTAAAGCCTTCACTGCTGGAACAATGTATGACATTATTCTTACTGTCTGTGGTTGCTCTTTACTGCTCACCTCTTAACTCATGAACTCATCCATGCCGAGTCATCAAGTCCTTCACAGTATGTTTTTCAGAATACAATCTGACAATGTTTGACTCATTTCATCTTTCTCTTTCTGCATATCTTCAGAACAAGCTCTTAGAGTAATTGATTCCTGACTAATTGGAGCCACAGCCCTAAAAACATAACAGTCAGCAAACACAAACTTAACATCTAAGAGGAAAACCAGCAATAATATATAACCAAAATAATAATAAGATGTAATACTATGATAAAAAACTGAGAAACTACTAAACTGTTTTCAGATTGAAAAACCTGTGGAAATTAACTAAACTGGTATTTGAGTCTGGCAGATCCCAGAAAACTTCAATATCTGACAGGTTGCCCATAAAAGAATAGCATTGCTGAATTGGACTATAACCACTGGACTCAGGTTTTAGGAGAGACAATTTGGAAGAAGTTCCCCTGAATAGTGATGCGTTCTTCCTTCTTTCTTCTTGCTCCAGGTTTTTTGCACCAGTTAAAGGTTGCCCTAGTTGCCCTACAAGTTTTTCTCCAACTGCAAAATATAATGGCTCCAAAGAATATGGAAAAATCGTTAGAATGGTGAAACCAAAATGGCTACATAATACAATTGCAGACGAAAATGGATTACACTCACATTACACAAATTGCTCCCTGAACAGTAAATCAGGGAGCTTGTGTCTTGTTTTGAAATGTACTATTGTAGCCCAAAGATATATATAAGCTATGATTCTGCTTTTGTTCAGGGCTGCTCAGAAAAATGCCAATGTTTCTGTGGAAACATGATATACACTTTTTGTTGTTTGTATGCCTAATAAAATTGTTGTATCTTCAGAGTGATTTGGTTGCTTTAGGCCAGTGCACACCTTTGTGGCTTAGTGACCTGGGGGGTGGGGGGGGGCGGAAACCAGGCCATGTGAGCGGCAGGGTGACATGCACGCATGTACAACTCAACTTGTGCAAGGGGCAGGCTAGCACGCACACACATGCACATGCAGCACAACTTGCACACGTGTGCATGCATGCCACCCCATTGCTCACACAACTTGAGCTGCGTGCATGTATATGCCGTCCTTCCATTTAGATAGCCTGGTTGTGAATAGACCACAGCCCAGTAGTAGGCTGCATCTCAAGAGTTGGGGACTTCTGCTTTATGTGACTCAGGTCGTGGGTGCCACACCTGCTTTCTTTCTCTCTTTCCCCTGCTCTTCTGAGGATCTGGGTCTGCTTTAGAACCAATAAACAAAACAAACACACTTAGAAATGATGACTTGCAGGAAAAAAAATACCTTTAACCTTCCTTGCTTAGTTCTTGCAATCCTATGACATTTTGTACTTTCTGTATGTTTAAAACCTGATAAAAGCTTTCAATCACCAATGAGATTAAAATTATTCCCCATACTAATTTATTGTATGTACTTTCCGAACGAAAGGTCAGCTTGTTAGATTTAAAGATAACTGAAAGAATACTATAGCAGAAATGATGTCAACTTACATCAGGCAATTGTTTCTGGGATTGCCTGATTCCTTGAAACTTGAAATGTATACCTTCTGTTAAAATGGAAAATGGTGAACAAGACATATAGCAATTTCAGATCGAACTGGTTTTTCAAAATAAGTGACAACTTGGAATAAAAAATGAGCTGACATTAAAACTGTGGCATTAAACACAGTATTGTCCTGCAACTTAAAAATGGATGTCCTGTTTATACTGGATATAAAGAATAAGGATGACCATGACAGAAAAGGCAGCTTTTGGTTGATGGGAACCTACAGATGAACTGAACATTTGACTAGTTCTAAAATGTTTCTGTTTTTCTATAAGGAAGGAGAATGTGCTAACTAGCACATTAAAATGCCACAAAGTAAACTAGTACAATCAGCCAAGTAATGTTAGTTGTTTATGGTATATAGACGTTTTGTCTTTGGAAAATCTCAATCAGCGATGTCATGGTTGTCTCAAAGGTGAACTTGAATTTTTGGTCTTTCCTTTGAAAATGTTTCATTTCTCATCCAAGAAACTTCTCAAGTGCTCCTGAACTGAAGAAGCTTCTTGGATGAGAAATGAAATGTTAAAAAAAACAAAAAACCAAGAAACCCAAGAATGTCCAGTTGTCTTTTGGAAAAAGCACCTTTGGGATAACAGAAAAGCACAAATAAAAACATCAACAATGTATTACATTAAATTTTCTGGCTACTATATTAATTTATAGTGAATTTAAATCTGAATCCCTGTATGTTGTACCTCCTGAAGTGAGCTTATGTTGTGTGCAAATGTTAACTCAATCTGAAGAGCTCTCTTTGGGTGATGAATTGCCTATAACCTGACAGCTATTTCCAAAGAACACTTTAAAGACTTAACTTTGTAATGACTTGGCATGCTCATTTATGTAGAATCAATTGATAATGATCCCACCGACTTAAGCCTTCATTAACCATTTGATTTCTTTGGGCTTTGACTTCTCTTTTAATTAACTTTAATAATATGACAAAAATATCCAATATTTCACCCCAGCAAACATTTTATTTGAAATCCATAGATTATTTCAGACTTGTGAAAAAAGGATGGAAATTAACTGAAATGTTAGTTTTCACACTGTGGTTAATTTTCTCTTGTGGCTCTCAGTAGATGTTATTTGCCCTGATACTACCTTATATTTCTTAAAAAAAATGTGTTGTTTTAATGGGAGTAAATGGCATGAATAAGACATTAAAAAAAGATCAAGTTATACATTTTCCTACAAAATTGGTTGAGTTTTGAAGATTTGATTCGTCAAATCCAGAAGAGAAATTGGCATTGAGGGCATAATTTTGAATATGCTGTACTTACTAGAAATTAAATCCAATATTTCTGTCTATGTGGCTGAAAAAATTATTGATTTTTTAAAAATGAAGTACCTAAGAGATATGCTATATAGGATTAACCTCTCTACAAATGGAGGCAGAAGACATTGCTTTAAGACACTCTTAAAATAAGATTTAAGTACCAATCTTTGGTGTCAACAATAACTGAATTCTGATCAAAACTGTACATCACCAATCCTACAAATTAAAATTACCCTGAGCAACTAACAATTACCACAGAGGCTAAGAACATGAAAGGAACCATATGGAAATAATAGCCTATTGAAGAAAAAAGTGCAAAATACTGATACTCGAGTGATTCATAAATTTCATCAGAATACAGAATATAACAGAGTTGGAAGAAATCTTGGAGGTTTTCTAGCCCAGCTCCTGCTTCTTGCAGGAGTCCCTATACCATTCCAGACAAATGACTCAGCAGAACTAGAATAATAGAATAATAATAATAAAATAATATTAACAGATTACATTATATGAGGATACCTTTAACACTATCAAACATTAACATTCGGCTTACCAAGTCCTTGGGAAGGGTTTGATAAGTGGATAAAAGTACCAATGTCTAAACATCTGACTGACTGAGTGATGAATCATATTGATATCAATATTACTATTAATATAATAAAATTAGTTATTAATGAATATAATATAAATTATATTAATATTAATGATAATAATGCAAAAAAGCCAGAATTGAGAAGAGTATCACAGATTGAAATACCACTTCTGCAAAGAAGGTGAAGAAGCAGTCAACCATCTAATTAACAGCTGTAAAAAGATTGCACAGATTGACTACAAATGGTATGACAAAACAGCAACAATTGGTGCATTGGAATATCTGTAAGAAATACTATTTTCCTGCGAGCGAGAACTGGTGGGACACAAAACAGACAAAGTAAGGGAAAATGAAGAAGCTAAAACGCTCTGGAACTGTTCAAATACAACTGCCTGTGAATGAGGAGTTTTTATAACATTGTCAACCATTATAATTGCATGGATTCCAAGGCCAATAAATATGCTAGTATATATTTTCTCCACTGGAAAGAGAAAAAAGATAATTAAGGTAACCAAATCCACACAGTAAGTACCATGGATGCAATCTTAGCATTCACACTTCTTTCCTCACAAAATGTTATTTAGGTTTCAGACATTGGAATAAATAGGATAGTAAGAAATCCCCAATGTTTCCCAGGGGAATGTTTGTGTGTGAAATGCAATGCAAATCTACCCCTTTTGTATGTGCCACATCCACAAACAAAATGACTTATAGTATGAGGCTACTTCTGGCATGTTGCCTGTTTTTCACTCTACCCTTAATGCATCTACATTCCATATGTAGTTCCTCCTAGAGGAACTAATTCGTCAGACTTTGACATGTCCCTATTTTCCTCCAACTGCTGTTCCCCAGTGATACTCAAACAAGCTGTATTAACTCATTTTCAACAATATGGTCTTTCACCCATCTCTGCCAAGCCCCCACCCCACCCTTTTAGTGGCTATACAAAAAAAAATTCATATCCCATCACCAATTTGAAGCATTTCAGGGATGCAGTGCAACCAATAAACTAGAAATAATCTACACATTTGCTTTGTTGCAAAATGATTTATAAAAGAAAATCCTTCTCGGCAAATCAATTATCATACCTTTTATTTTAGAGGTGAAACATTTAAATAAAACATAATTTAAATTAGAATAGCTTCATTAATGAAGTCTAATTAATTGCTTTCAAGATTGAACTGTTAATTTGTTGTGTTCATGAATCTTTTCCCACAAGGCACATACTATGCAATTCCCTGATATGTCTTAGTTTACAGGCCATGTTAGATCAATTAAACAGTATTTTGGTTTCTCAGTAGATTTGAAACGATGCAATGGGAGTTCCTACAGGTAAAGGTTATAGTGAGGTATAGTTCACTGAAATAATAAAAAAAGAAGTGAGGTTTATAATTCTTAGCAGCTTATATAATGATTAAAGCTTTTCTTTCATGGTAATATCATTTTATAGAGGTTTAAATTTATTTCTATTTTACAGCTGCAGAAAAACCAAGAATATTTTAGTGACAACTGTTTTATATTGTTATTGGGTAGCTTTTTTGGGGTGGGATAGCAAGGTTTTGATATGAATAAAGGCTGTAGAAACTTAACTTGCTAACATTGGAATAAGATTGTATCCATATTCAGTGTTCAACAGGAACATGTTGTAATATTCTATAAACTTCCTGATTTGAACCAGTGGAAATACGTTGGTGATTACACTTTCTTATGGGCAAATGCATTTGTAAATTGTGTTTTTTCACATTCATTTCTTTTTAAATGTAAATTTCTTTCCATCTTGTTTAAGAAGAAATGTGTAAATTTTGGAAAGTTGTAATATATAAAATAACAACAATTCTCACTCAACTGTAATCATTCAGAAAGTGAAGAAAGAGAGATGTGGTGTATCTGCCAGGTGTGTAGTGGTAAATGATGAGGAGCCTGGCAGAAAACTCTAATCCAGCACTGCAGATATGGCTAAATACGGATTCAAGTTTATCCTTGAAACAGATGAAGATTCAAATCTATTTCTAGTTATTTGATAAATGAACCTTCAGGCGGACATCTCCCAAATTCATTCATTTATTCATTTTTTAAAATCTCAACATTTTTATTTTTCTCAGAATGCACATTTTCTGAGATTGTTGACTCAGGGTAGAGTTAGAAATAGAAATACTTCAAGTTTAGACACTTTATAAATTGGATAGAATATTGTGTTTCATTCTGCCTCTAAAAAAATATTAGGTTGGAGAGAAGAATTAGAGACAAACTTCTTGAGAATCACCAAGGTAGATTTCAACTGATAACATTACTTGAAGTAATGCTTAATTATTTTCTGTCTAACCTGTATGGTACGCATATGTAACTTATGATGGTCCATGGCTTTAAATGTTGTCAAAGGCTCAATTAGAAAATCCCTCAATCTGTGTAATAACAT